GAAGGGATCTTGTTTCCTTGGTTTCCTGCTACAGCAGGGATTTAGGCTGTTAAGCTTCTGGCAAGCAGCTTTCATGGCTTTAGCTGCTGAAGGACAGTTCTGACTTTCTTCCTTCCTATCTTTCCCCACCCAGGTCCTGGAGCTCCTGAAAGTGGCCTGGAACAGGCGCTTGATTTTCACAGTGGGCACCTCCAGCACCACTGGTGAGAGCAACACGGTGGTGTGGAATGAGATCCACCACAAAACAGAGATGGACACAAACCTGAGTGGCCACGGCTACCCTGACCCCAACTACCTGGACAATGTGCTGGCAGAGCTGGCTGCCCAGGGCGTCACCGAGGACTGCCTCAGAAAATGAGTGGTGTTGAGGGGCTCAGCTGGGCTGTGCACATCTCTGTGGCCCCCTGCCCAGGGGCCCACCCAGTGCACTTAATCGTGTTGCCTTAAGTTCCTGTGTCTAACCATCTGTCACCCTAAGCAATAATTCTGTCATGTGGGAGTGCTGTGTACTCTGTACAGTCTTTTTTTTTTTTTTTTTTTTTTTTTTTTTCCTGGAGGGAAGCTATTTTTGTAGAAAACGTGACTGTATGTCCAGGTAGGGTTGGTGTCTGCAGCTGGGAGAGTGGTGGCGAGGTGACAGGGCCCCTTGTGAAGGCAGGACCCCAGTCCTGGTGCTGTCTGGGGTGACAGGAGCATCTCTCTTCCGTAAGAGCACTTTGGAAAGAGGAGGGTCTCCTTCCTTCTCATTGCAGTTCTTCTGAGCAAAGCCTCCTGCCCCTGTAGCAGATACCTGTATCTCTTGGTTGTAATAAACACTTCATTTCCATGGAGAGCTGCTGCTTTGCCTTCATCCTGTGTGGTGGCTCAGGATTCCCCCTCTGAGGGACCGGTCTGCTCTGTGGAGCTGGTGTCACTTGATCCAGCCAGGAGAAGGGAGGGGAAGCTCAGCTCTGCTGGAGGACCCCGGCTCTCTGCAGGGGCAGGATGCCATGTGCTGAGCCCGGGAGCTTGGCTTGCTGTTTCACCCCTGCCTCCCCCCCTCCTGGAAGCAGCAGCAGCAGTTGTGGAGCTGTGCTTGTCCCTGTGGACAGCTGCTGGGCTTTTGTGCCTGATGCAGCTCTGTGCTGTTGGCTTGGGGTGGTGCTGCAGGGAGTGCTGGTGCCACCGGGTGGTGACAGGCCCTCTGCTTCCCTCATCCCTCTTGCTGCTGTGATGCTCCTCTCTATGCAGCCTCCCTCTGTCATGCCCATACGAAAATGAAAGGATTTTTGGAGACATTAAGGGCTGGGGGCTTGTACCCAGTGTCCTTTTTGTCCTTGCACCCTTTGCTTAACCCTCTGAGCATCAGTTACCACCCTCTGCTACACACAGGCTTTTTGGAGAGAATGATTGCTGGCTTTGGGGATGCTGCCAAAGCAGGGTGCTCTTTTGAGCTAGCTGTGCTTTGCAGGGCTTTGTGGAAAGATGATGTTGTTCTGCCCTGTTTGCCAAAGGGAGGTTTCTAGTTTACAGCTCAGCTTTCTATCCCCTGCTGATGTCCCAGGGAGCAAAGCAGAGGGCTGAAGTGAAAATTCTCAACACGAAGCAAGAACTTCCTGCTGCAGGTAGTTGGAGCCAGCCCTTGAGTGAGCGCTCCTGTACGGCAGTCAGCTGCAGCCTCCCCACCTGGCGGCTGTGTGGGGCTGGGTGCTGCGTTGTCAGCCTGACTCACATGGTGTCACCCACTGAGCACTGAAGGCACGGCTCTGGAGCATCTCCAACAGCAGCTGCTGCTGTGCCTGGGTTTCTCCAGCTCCTCCCTCCCAGCACAGGGAAACTGACTGCAGCTGTGCCTGGTTTTTCCCCTCCCCAGCTGGTCTGTGTAATCCATGGATGTCCAACCTGTTGGCTTGCCTGGGCTGTGTTGAGTGAAGAAAAATTCCTCTGGGCCTCATACAAAATACATAACTGAGTTACTTGTAAGTAACAAAGCTTATTTTTGTATATATATATATATATATTAATTAAAATGTAAAAAAACAGCAACAAAACCATAAAGTTAGCAGGCTGCCTGCCCTTGTTTCCACGAAACTCATGCATTGATGTGTGGTTCAGGGGAAGTGGTTGCAATTCTCATCGGGCTCTCAAGGCGTTTGTCAGAGAGTTTTGATGAAATACTGCTCCTCATGTCCTTCACCTTTGAAAACAGCTGTTCACAAATGTACCCAGCTCTCTGATCTGTCCAGGTCTCTGCAATGAGCAGCTCCTCCCATTTCAGTATCAGCAGGAAGCTCGCACAGAACGCCTTCTAGTCCCAGTGCAGGGAGGCTGGATGCAGCCAGGTTTTCCCCTCCCCAGCAGGGCTGTAATCTCTGGATGCCCCATTTCCACTTAATCTGAAGGAGAAGTCAGAAATCCTCTGGTACAGAGGAGTGGCAGCCCCAGCCCTTGGCAAACAGTGCAGAGAGCACTCAGCCCTGCTGCTGGGGTGGCCCTGAGCCTTGGCACAGCTCCTGCCCGGGGGCAGCATTATCTGCATCCCCATGTCAAGGGTTGGGGGGGAGGGAAAGTGTGGGGAGGGGGGTGTGAGGAAATTCTTACGGGGTGAAGGAAGGAGAAGGAAGCCTAGCCCCGAAACCCACAAGGGGCAAGAATTGGGAGATGGCAGCTTGGCTGCCACCCCACCCTATGTACTGGGTGGGACCAGTCACTCTTCAGCACTTTGGTTTTGGGTGAGTTTGGGGTGTGATGGCTCCAGGCACTTCCCTGCCTTCAGGGCAATGCTGGCTGCACCCACAATCTGGCTCTGTGTGCCACGGGGTGATGGGGCACTTCTGGGTTTCAGGCTGTACTGCAGTGAATGGGATGGAAGGGCACTCGCCCTATTTCCCCCATAGCCCTAACGAGGCTTCCCAGTCCTGCCAACAGGTCCTTCAAATGCAGCTCCAGTATCACCTCTGTGCCTCAGTTTCCCCTTTTGCATCATACAGCAGTGGCTGCATCTTTGGTGTCCTGTAACTGGGGTCAAAAAGCTCAGGGCTGTTTTTGGGACTTGTGGTGACCTGGGAGGAGCCCTGTCCCTCTCTGCCCGCAGGGTCCTGCTGTGCTGGTGGAGCCAGTGCAGGAATGTGGGGCTGGGAGGGCCGTGCTTGGTGGGGGCACAGGGGCAGCTCGGCCCCTGAGCAGTGGGACGGAGCAGGTCGGTGCAGAACGGACGCTGCCATGGAGCTGCTGAGGGTGCTGCTGGCGCTGGCTGGGATGGACGCAGCTGCTGGCCTGGGTGAATCTGGGGGGCTGTGAGGGGCTTCCTGTGGGTAGCGGTGCTGGGGAGGGGTTTAAGGGGCTGTGTGTGGCTGGGGGGCCTCCCACTCACTGCTGTGATCCCAGCCCTGTTGCCCTACGTGCCCCGCTTGGCCCCTGATGCCATGCCAGGGAAGGTGACGGCCACCACCTTTGTGCTGGAGAGACCCCGCTGCATCTTTGACCCCCTTGCCAATGCCTCCGATGCCGTCTGGCTGGCAGTGGCTTTCGCTGATGGTGAGCACGTGTTGCAGTGGGGGGCATTGGGAGTGTTCACCCCCGACTGCTCACCCATCTGTGCCGCGCAGCCTCCACCGCCTTCAAAAACCCCACATCCAGAGCTGAGGTGCCCCCATATGAGGGGCTGCCCAGCGCCCGTGCCTACATGACACTGGAGATGGCAGCGGCCGCCTATGGATGCTCAGCTCCCGGTGCAGCCGTGCTGCGGGTCGGCGGGGACACAGCGTGCCATGGTCGGGCACCATGCAATGGGCCACTGCCCTCCCCGGGGCCCTACAGGTGAGGTTGTGGGATGGGACATGGCACTGTCCCCCATACCGGTGCCAGAGGTGCCCATCCTGCAGGGTGAAGTTCTTGCTGATGGGCTGCAGCGGCCCCAAAGTGGAGACGAAGTGGTCCGACCCCATCCTCCTGCGGAGAGGTACCCCACCATCCCAAAACCAAAGGGGAGAAGAGCTCCCCAATGTCCCTGTGCCACCCTAACCCCGGGTGCCACCCCTCACCCCATGCCTTTCCAGCTCGCAGCCTGAGCACCATTGACCCCACACCAGCACGTCGCAGCAGCACTGCGGTCATCATCGCCGCCATCCTGGCCAGCCTGGGTGCCGCGCTGGCTGTGGCCATGCTGGGAGCTGTGGGGTATGAGTGGGGCACGGGGATTTTAAGACTTTTTTTTTTTTCATAAATCGGGAGGGTTGCTGTATTTTGGCAATGGGATGGGGTGGTTTCTGCAGTGTTTGAGCTGCATGGACCCTGCTTGATGCCTCACCCATCTCTTCCTACAGCACCCAGGTGTGTGTCCCCCTGTGCCACCGGGACCTGGGCGCCCACCTGCCCTACAGGACCCACCATGTCCCTCCAGCCCTGCCCCACATGCTGCCCCCTGCCTGCATCTGTGGCTGCACGCCGCGGCCCCATGGCCCATAGCCCATCAAGTAAAATCATTTCCATCCTTTATTGATTCTTTTGTTGTCTTCTTCTGTTGTTTGGTGTCCCAACCACCAGCACATGGCCTGGATGTGCTGGGTGTGCCATCCCCACAGACCCCCAGGGTCAGTCTGGAGGGGCTCTGGGTGCTGATGGAGCTCATGTGCATTGTGGGCAGTGTGGCCAGTTTAACTCAAACCACGGCCCTGCGGTTGTTCTATGATCTCGGGGCACACGGCTCATACAATGCTGGATGCTTTGTTCACCATGGGACGGGGACACCAGGACGTGGGTTCACCCATCCCACGGGTCCCCTTCTGGGAATGGCACTTTGGGACCCACCCGTGCCACGAGCGTGACAGTGCTCAGCACACCACCCAGCAGGCACCCAGCCGTAGCGTAATGCTCTGCAGGGAAACGAGCCCGACCTGTTTGCCGCGGGGCTGCGGCCGCACAGGAATGTGGGTGGTTGGAGGCCGCAGGCGGGTCCTGCGGGGGGGACAAGGCGTTTGGCCCCCGCCCTGCGCCCGCACTCCGAGCTCGGCACCAGCACCATGCGCCCGCTGCTGCTCCTGCTGCTCCTGCTGCTGGCCACAGCCCACGGCCTGGGTGAGTGTGCACCACAGGGGGCTCGTGGCCCCAAATAATGGGGTTAGGGGGTGGGTCTGCTGGCTGGAGGTGTTTCCTGTGCATGCAGAGGGGATCTGTTCTGGAGGATGGGTGTTGTGGGTGACACCGCAGACTGGGACCCTCCTTGGTGTCACCCAGCTCAGCCCGCAGCGCAACACAGGGTCCCCTGAGGTCTCCCTGGTGGTGGCACTGCTCCCCCTTTTCACAATAGTTGCAGCATCTGAGTCCAAAATGGGTGGTGGCTGTGCGGAGCTGCCCTCCTCCCCGTGCCCAGATCCCACAGCCACCCGGCCCTGCTCTCATTGCTCTGCTGCAGTCACTTTGTCCTACCAACCCCGTCTCGCTCGTGCCAACCTGGGGGGCCGTGTGACGGGCAGCACCTTTGTGCTGGAGCAGCCCCGCTGCGTCTTTGATGAGTACAACACGTCTGAAATCTGGCTGGTGGTGGCTACCAGTGCAGGTGAGTGGGGTGACGGAGGGATGGGGCTCTACTGGAGTGCTCCCCTTCACTGCCATCCCCATCCCCGCAGGCAAGAGTAACTTCAGTGACAGTGCAGAGCCGGAGATGCCTGAGTGGAGCTTCCAGCGCTTCCCTGCCAACACCTCAGCCTACCTGACGCTGGGTACCATGCAGTATCACTACCGCTGCCTTGAGCCCAATGGGGAGCTCACCGTGCTGCGTGTGGGCAGCGAGACCAGCTGTGCTCACGACGCCTCCGTACCCAACTGCAATGGGCCCCTGCCCGGCCCTGGGCCCTATTGGTGGGTTGTTAGGAACAATTTCTTCTCAGAAATGGCAGTGATGCAGTGTCACGGCTGCCAGGGAGGGGGGCTCAATGTCCCTGGAGGTGTTAAGAGCTGCAGGGATGTGGCACTGAGGTTGGGGTTGGGCTCGGGGATCTGATAGGACTCTTCCAGCCCTAGAGATTCTTGATCTCCTCCGCAGGGTGAAGTTCCTTGTGCAGAATGGCTCTGAGCCCATAGCCACCACGCAGTGGTCGGAGCCCATCACACTGAAGACAGGTACCAGGGTGAGGGTGGCACGCAATGGGGTGGGACAGGGGGGCAGGTGAGGCACAGCCCTGTTTTGCTCTCCAACAGCCCAGCAGATCCCGAGCAGCCCTGGGATGGGCGGTGGCCGCAGCGGTGCCATGATCGCCATCGCTGCCATCCTGTCGGTGCTGCTGGCCGTCCTGCTGGCCGCCTTCCTGACCATGCTGTGCAGGTGAGTCCCATAGGGCACAAGGGATGGCGACGGGTGCAGCAGCGCGCCGTGTCCCCATGCCGTGTCCTCCCCCAGCTCCGAGGCATGCGGCGTGGGCAGCTTCAGGCCGGACTCGGCGTCCATCCAACGCTACAACACCCACCACGTGTACGACCAGCCGGCCGCACGGCTCTGAGGGGGGACAACATGTCACCGTGTCACCATGTCATCATTGCCTGCCCCCGGAGATGGACTGGGACATAAACAGATTCATGTGTGCCGTGCGTCTGCCTCTGTCTGTGGGCTGTACTGGGGGAGGGCTCAGCTCACACTGTGCTGTTCTGTGCATCACGTAGGGGCTGGAGATGCCCAGGGTGCTTCTGCCAGGCTCCCCCCATGGCACCTGCCCCTGGGAAGGGAACACCTGCAGTGCTCCTGAGCAAGTATTTGGTTGTAGGAAGCAGAAAATCCTGTGATTTCCAGAACAATGATAATGACTGCCTCACTATCAGCCTGCCAACCGCCCCCAGCTGTAGGGCACCGTGTCCCCATGTTGTCCCTGTAGTGTCCCTATGGAGCTTCCACAGTGTCCCTGTGGTATCTCCACGGTGTTTCTGTGATGCCCCTGCCAAGACCCCATGGTGTCCCTCAGGGTGCCCCGGGGTGTCCCCAAGGTGTGCTCATGGTGTCTGCCTGGTGCCACACGGTGTCCCTATTGTGTCCCCATGGTGTCCTCACAGTGTTTGCACATTGTCCCCATGATGTCCCTCCCTATAGTGTCCCCACGGTGCCCCTGTGGTGTCCCCAGGGTGTCCTTCTGATGTCCCTATGGTGCCTCCATGGTGTCCCCATGGTGACCCCGTGGTGTCCCTGGGCTGAGTGCAGGGGCTAGGATGGCACAGGGTGGTCTGGGAGTGCGCCAGGGGTACATGGGATTTTGGGGCATTGGAGCACTTAGCGTGTGAGCAGGCACTGCGCAGGCACGGCGCCGAGCTGTGGGTGCAGCACGTCCCGCTGCCACATTTGGGGGGCTTAGAAATGTGGGGGTCCCTGCAGCCCCCAGCCCCGTGGCCACGCTGCGTACGATCCCCCCCGCCCACAGCCCCAGGCCCCGCCCACTCTCTATACCTGGCCCCGCCCATTTCCGTAATCCCCGCCCACCGGTCCAGAACCGCTCTCTGATTGGCCGCCCTCCGTGCCGGTCCGCACATGGGCTCGGGGCTCCGTGGCCGCGGGTTCGGGGCCGCGCTCCGCTGCCCGCTCCTTCCGTCCCTCCCTCCCTCGCCATGGCCCGGCGCAGCGTGCTGTCCATCCGCATCGTGGAGGGCAGGAACCTGCCCGCCAAGGACATGTGAGTGCTGCCGGGGCTGAGGGTTGGCATCTTGGTTCTGCATGCTGCTTTGCCTCCGGCCCCCGGGAGAGCTTTGGGGAATCCCTCCCCAGGGCTTTACGGTGACTCCCACCCAATGCATTGGGCTCCCTTGAGGGTGGGTTTGGGGTGACCCCCTCCCAGCTCTTTGGGATGGCTTCAGGATGTGTTCCCCCAGTGCTTTGGGATTTCCTCTCTGGATGGCTTTGGAATGACCCCCTGGATGGTACCGGGGCAGCCCTTCCTTTAGGGTTTCCCCCAGGATGGCTTTGAGGTGACCCTCCCAGCGGTGCCCGTGCTTTGGGGATTCCCTTCAGCCTGAATGTGGGGTGTCCCAGCAGCTCTGAATGCCTTGAGGCCACCCCTGGCTCTGTCCCTTTTCCAGCACCTGCTGCAGGGGTTGCTGTCCTCATCGGGTGGGGATTTCCCTTCTTCGAAGCCCCCAGAGGTCTGTCTGTGGTCCCAGCATTATCCCAGCTCCCATCTCTACGGGGCAAGATTTGGGGACAGCACTGGGTGGCATGGGGACAGCCCAGGGGGGATCCATCCAAGGGGAGCCACTAAGGAGCACTGCAGAATGCTGGAAAAGCAGCAAAAAAACCCCGCAGCCGTCATGGAAAAAGAGGATAAACAAGGAAAGAAGCACAGCTTCTGGCTTTTTTAAGCTCCGTGTGTCAGGGCTCGTGTTTTTCAGTCCCTTGGCACGATGCCCTGCGGGGACCTTGAGCAGGCGCGGGGGGGGGCTTTGCCTTTCGGAGGGCAGAACGCGGCTTGGGATGGTGCCACGGGCACAGCTCCATCCCCTCTTCGCTGTGCTCCGGGATTTACGGCACCCCGTCCCTCCGCCATTGGGATCGCTGTGATTTCCCCGTGGAAATCCGAGATGTCACAGCGCTGCCGTCGGGTCAGAGTCTGCCCGCAGCCACCCACCCACGGCACGCTGTGTCCCCGGGCACGCTGACACCGCTGCCCCATTCTGCTCCCGCACGGCAGCGCTACGATTTCAGCGCATTTCACCACCCTCACCGACGCTGTTTCCAGGTTGAGTTCCCTGCCTGCCTGCTCTGTGCTCCCTCCCTCCTGTGAGCCCCCTGCCCCTACGAGCTTTGGCACCGGGACCCCACGCAGCTGTCCATAAAGAGGCGGAATAACGCTCTGCTCTATGGCACATCGCTGGGCTCCTCCCTGCATCCCCAGCGCAGGAAGACAAAGAGCATCTCTTGCTTTGTGTGCGCTGCCCGGGCAGACGGCACGGGGCTGTGTGTGCACAGCGCCCGCTGAATGGTTTGCACAAGGCAGGAAATGTCAGCAATACTGCGGGGTTAATGGGGCTTCATCCGCCGCGTTCGTGTCGAAGCTGCCCGCAGGGGAGCTGGCTCTTAGCAACCAGCGTGACACGGGGCTGCCTTGCGTGGGGACGCCCCGGGACGGGGACACCCGCATGGTCTCCAGGATGCAGCGCGTGGGGCCAAGGTCCCTGCAGCTCCAAGGCAGCTCTCAGCTGTTTGCTTTTCCTTGTTTATTTTACTTTCCCCAACCTGCTGCTTGTCACCTTCCAAGCAAACCCATCATCCCAGCCACGTGGCTCCTCCTGGACCCCTTCGGTCCCCTTTGCTCCCCCAGCAGCTCAGGGCACCAGCACCCCTGGGAGCTGCCGGCCCCAGATTGAGGACCCAAAGTCCTTTGCCCCCATAGCCAGCACGGTTCCGCCAGCTCCGCCGCCTCCGGCCCCAGTGAGTCACCCTCCTCAGGAACTGAGCTGGCCATAAAGTGGTGTTTTTTTGGCAGTTGCACACAGGAGCATTGACCTGAGCTATTACCAGCTCATTGAGCATCGCTGTGACCAATGGTCTGTGTCACCACAGTGTCCCCAGGGTTGTTCCCATCCTTGCAGAAGGATCTGGGTTCTGGGTCCATTTTGAGGCTTGAGGGGGCTGTGTTGGCTTCTGGAGCTCCTGCTTTGGGGAAAGGGTGGGATTTGTTTGTTCCCCTTCCGATCTGGACGAGGAGCTGCCATCAGCTGCCAGCAGGATGCTGTGGTCAGGGCCGGGAAGTCGGGGTCACTGCAGTGCTAATGGGGTCGTGCCATTGCCTTCCAGCACGGGGAGCAGCGACCCGTACTGCATTGTGAAGATTGACAATGAGGCCATCGTCAGGTGAGCACATCCAGCCCTGCTGCCCTCTCCCATCTGGCTCCCAAAGCTCTGCTTTGGGTTTGAGACATGGATCCCAATGTCCAATAATCCATGGTCAACCCATAAGCCACCCCAGTGTGGGTGCTGTGCACCAGTCCTGTCATCTGATGTTGGGATGTCACTGCTGCCATCTGTCCCACAGGACTGCCACAGTGTGGAAGACGCTGTCCCCATTCTGGGGGGAAGAGTATGAGGTGCAGCTCCATCCCACCTTCCACAGCATCTCCATCTATGTCATGGATGAGGATGCACTCAGGTACGGGCAGAGCGCTTTGCGGACAACGCAGTGTTGGGTTGGGAAAGGCAATGCTCAACCCCATAGCAGACAGCAGAGAATCCACACGTGGCTGTGCAGTTGAGGGCTTTGGGACATCCAAACTGCCTGCAGCAAGGGGTGGCCTAGGAGCTCTGTGTCCCCTCAGTGCCACCCTCCATGCCACCTCCCTGTTGTGTCTTGCAGCCGTGATGATGTTATTGGGAAGGTGTGCATCACCCGCACCATGCTTGCAGAGCACCCCAAAGGTAGGGGACGGCGGGGTGTCCCCAGCCCTACACCCAGCCGTGTCCCCAATGCCCCCTGCCCATGGTGCCCACTATTCCCACAGGATACAGCGGCTGGGTGAGCCTCAGCGAGGTGGACCCCGATGAGGAGGTGCAGGGGGAAATCCACCTCCGTGTGGAGCTCCTGGAGGGCGGCCAGCGGCTGCGCTGCACCGTGCTGGAGGCCAGGTGATGTTGGGGATGGGGACGTCCCACTCCTGGGATGAAAGCTTTGGTGGTGTCTGGTGAGTCCTGGCTGCTCTGTGACTCAGTTTCCCCACTGCACTGAGACACTGGGGAGCTAAGGAGGGGAGACAGGGAGCAGTGGGTGCCCACTGTAGGGATTCTGGAGGCTCACTGGAAATTTCTCCCTCTCCTCCACAGGGATTTGGCCAAGAAGGACCGGAACGGTGCGTCCGACCCCTTTGTCTGTGTGAGCTACAATGGCAAAACACAGGAGAGCACCGTGAGCTCAGCTCAGCGTATCCCCATCCCTGATGTCCCCTTGGGGGTCGGGTGTGTGTGACATGGGGACAAAGCCATCTCCTTTGCAGGTGGTGAAGAAGTCCTGCTATCCTCGCTGGAACGAAGCCTTCGAGTTCGAGCTGCCCGACCCCCCTGCAGAGAATCTGTGTGTAGAGGTGTGGGACTGGGACCTCGTCAGCAAGAATGACTTCTTGGGCAAGGTGAGCTCCCAGAAGCACCCTACATGGCTCCATTACTGGGGTGGGACGTGAGCCTGTCCCAACCTCCCCCAGGTGGTGGTCAGCGTGCAGGGGCTGCAGGCAGCCGGGCACCAGGAGGGCTGGTTCAGGCTGCATCCAGACACAGCCAAGGCCAGGGAGGAGAGGTGAGTGTTTTGGGGTGTCCCAGAGGGATGTGCTGTGGGGTGCATGGTCTGGATCTGCTCTCCATGTTCCTATAGGCGCCGGGGCAGCCTGGGCTCACTGCAGCTGCAGGTGAGGCTGCGGGATGAGACAGTGCTGCCCTCTCACTGCTACCAGCCCCTGGTCCAGCTGCTGTGCCAGGAGGTGAAGGCAGGGCACCAGGTGAGGTCCCTGCAGAGCCCCAATGGGACGTGGTCACAGTGCC